GGAATATTCCTATGTACTACTTGTACAATGTCATCCAAGAAATGTCAGATTTTATATTGAACTCGTCTACATGGCCCACTTGATGAACAGACTTATATCAGTCTGATCAGCTGTAACATATGAGTTATTGCATACAAGCAAATGAAATAACGAAAGATTTTTGGACTAAAAAAATCGTGATGACTATTCTTCGGAAATGTGGTTATACCTCTTTTTACAATCAGAAATTGACTGGTGGATTTTGAAAACAAAAAGTTCTGGACCACGGAAGAAATAGAAATGCATATTAAGTATTTCGAATTGCTTGCAGCTTATTAGGGACTGAGATATTTGGCTAAAAATAAAAACGCATTGTCGTATTTTTCTGCGTATCGACAATACTGCGACAATTTCACCGACTTACCGAAAGGGAGGCATTAAATACGAATATTCGAATTCGATAATTTACAATGTTTGGAAATGGTGTGAAAAATGAAAAATTATTATGTTTGCGTCATACATTAACACGGAAGATGAATATCTATCAAATAAAGCTGCAAGATTTTTAGCTATTCATACAGAGTTGTCTTTAGATGATCAAATAATAACCAGAAAATATGGAGAACCCAAAATTGACCCATTCGGATCATATGTTGCCAACAAATATGAAACATTCATATCCTGGCATAGAGACCCTGATTCAATTGCTGTAGATACTTTCACAGTATGATGGCTACGCATTTTCCCCGTTCTCCGTATTACGTGTTTTGAACAAGATATTCTTCGAAAAAGCGGAAGTAATCATGTTTCTTTCATTCTGGCTTTCACAACCATGGTATTCGTTTCTCGCATATTGCTTGTTTCAGATATTATATATTTTGATTCTTGAAAGTCACTTATTTCGTTTATTTTCAGGACACGACATCCTTTGCACAATAATCTTATCCTGGCTGCAGAGAAATTATAGAAAGGTCGTTCACACTCAAAAACGTCAACCAAGTATCTCAATAATGATACCCTCACTATGTGAGAGTTCTCAAAAACAATTACTATCATAATTTTCAAAATGGTGACAGTTTATAAATTCTTTTGAAATTGGTGAATTCAAACCGTCTGTTAACCGAACTTAGTGAGGGAGCATATTATACAACTTTGAATACCCATATAGCTCAGCATTAGCTCTAATTTTTTATCCTGAAGACTAGTTTTTGCTAATTACTATCATATTCAGAATTCCAGAGAAATTCAATCGTATCTTGAGAAATTATATCCTTTGCAGAAATTTACCCTGGCAGACGTGTCTTTGAAGCTTACTATTTGCTGCAAGGGCTGAAACTCTACCAAAAATCAAAATATTAGATATATAGGTATGGAGATGAAAAAGAAAAAAAAAAGAATATTTATATCTAGCCGTCTAAAAAAAAACAAGTTTTGTAAATGTGTTTAACGTGCTCGTTGAACGAGAGATTGTTATCAATATATACCCCTAAATTTTTTGCTGAACTCACCCAGTCAATATGTTATATTATTTATAGAGAAAACAACCTAACAGCTATAACACTTATGATTATTATTGTTGTTTCACAGATGCCAAATGAAAATAGGGCTGAGTGGTCCAAAGAAAATCTCAAAAAAATATTGTTAGCCGTAAGGAATTCAAAAAACGTCTTGAAATATGTATTATTTCAACAGTGATTCTATTTGAAAGATTTCAAGACAAATTACTTGACGACGTTTCGATTGTTAGTATCCACAATCGTCTTCAGGTGATCCAATTTGTCATAGATAGAAGAGTCATGTGTATCATAAAGAGATGCTACAGTCGATAGGAATTCTCCTACGTTTTGCGTTTCTAGAAACAACAATATGCGTTATTTTGATATCCTCTAATTATTCATTCAGTTCATCGAAAAACGAAAAAAAATTACGTTTGGATTATGTTTTTCAGGAACTCTAGAAAAAATCAATGTTTCAAATCAGAAAGCTCAAAAAAACGAGTCTCAGGAAGCAGTAGGTGGAATAAGCATGTATCCCAAATTGTTCTTCCTAAATTGTGAATTCTCCTTATAGCTTTCAATGTCTCATAAAAAGTTGCTCCAAATAAGATCATAAAATAAATGAATGAAATGAATTTGAAAGTATGTTTGGACTATGTTTTTCAGGAACTCTTGAAAAAATCAATGTTTCAAATCAGAAAGCTCAAAAAAACCGAGTCTTAGGAAGCAGTAGGTGGAATTAGCAAGTATCACAAATAGTTGCACCTGAATTGTGAATTCTCCTCGCAGCTTTCAATGTCTCATTTAATTTTCGTCTCTCTGAGAAATTAATGCATAATTGAACGAATTGTATAGAGAACAATATCCTTTCGAAATCCTTCAAAAATGAGTCTCATTATGAAGCATCGCTCTCAATATGGAAAGCAGTATAATTATTTTTCTGTGTTATTTAGTGTATTGAAAAAAATAAATTTTTCAGTTATTCTCAAAGCAGACCGACATTTTGAATCAGGAAACCCAAGAAACACTGGACGCATCAAGAAATAAGCATGTCTCATATAAAGTTGCTCCAAACAAGACCATTAAATGAGGATTCTTTTTCCAACTTTAAATGTAATCCATTTCGTGTTTGAGCTTCTGAGAAACTTTCTCTCATTGATATGAAGCCCGTTTTTTATATGAAAAGCAGTTTCTTATTTTTTTGTGTCATTTATTCAGTTCATTAAAGAAAAAGAAAATTACGTTCGGCTTACATTTTTTAGTTATTTTTGAAGTAAATCAATATTTTGAATTAGAGCGCACAAAAACACAGAAAGGATTGGGTGGAACGAGCATTTCATAAAAAGCTGTTCCAAATATGATCATTAAATAAGTTCTTCCTTACTTTGAATTTCGAAATCTATTTTTTCGTTAACCAGTTGACTAGTTCCTACGAACGACAATCATGAAAAGTCTCAACACGTGCGAGCTAATGATTAACGTGGTTTCACTTTTGAAGGTGCGATGCCTAGCACAAGTTAGATGATAGACAGTGAAAATTCCGGCCTGCCGGCTCGAACCATCGTTTCACGTTCCGGTCGAATGAAAGAGTGGAATAAGCCACTCACGACAACCCAACCGACCACCGTCCTAACCTAACCTATTCCATGTTTGCGCCTTGAGCAGATTCATGCAAAATCAGACGAAGATTTTCCAAGTCACTTTTGAAGCACCACTTTTTAATACAGTGCATTCCATTTGTAACGAGCCACCCTGAATAACATTTGGTACAATCATTTGCAGGAAAAATTAAAAACGTGTTTTTAACCATAGTATACAGGAGGACACATTTTGACATATTCACATTTGATGTTATTTCGTCTATTGTGTTCCCAGAACATGTCACCATTTTTTTAAAATGGATCACCCTTAATTGTTTCGCTTTATCAGATGCTCCATGATGAGCAGATTTCAACAAAGTATAAAACATATGATCTGAAGCTTATATTTCGGAGGTTACACATTATTTGAGTTGAAAACGAGCCAACCTGAATAACTTCTGGAACAATGAGTTTCAGGAAAAATAAAAGAACACTTCAACAATAGTATACAGGGGGACATATTTTGACATATTCATATTTGATCTAACTTTTCCTATCGCATTTCGCATCGAACATATTTCAACAAAGTAGAATACATTATGATCTGAAGCTCATAGTTTGGAAGCTAAAAATTATTTGAGTTGAAAACGAGCTACCCTGAATGAACTTCTGTAAAATCTGTTACCTAGGTTTCATAGGTGTTTTTGTGAAGTATACTTCAAAAAAGTCTTATTTTGCCTAGTTTGAATTCGATATTCTCGTCATTTTATATTTGTCTCATTCTACAATAAAGATTACATACCAGGTGAAGTTACAATGATAATCATTCAGGAAGAAATGTTCGACACAAATGAGTTTCGGAATTATTGAACAAATTCATGGAAACTGGATGAAGCTATTTGTACTGCAGTTCTAGGGCACGGTAGACTAATGGAAAATTCGCAATCTCTAACTAAATTATCTCGAGAATCAGGAATCAGTCGTACAAATGTTTTCAGGATCCTTCATAAGTACAAATTTCATCCATATAAAATTAAGTTAGTCCATGAATTGAACGAAGATGAGTTCGATACGCGTATCGAGTTTTCTGAAAGTCTCACTGACCGGATCAACTTGCCTCAGAATTTCTTGTATAAAATTTGTTTTTCGAAAATGTGAATATGTCAAAAAATGTGTCCCTCTGTATACTATTGTTGACGTGTATTTTTATTTTCCCTGAAAATAATTGTACCAAAAGTACCTGATTCAGGGTGGCTCGTTTTAAATGGAATGCACTGTATAAGAAGCAGTTTCTTCAATTATCTAATAATAATAATAATAAATGCTTTTACTGGACGGTTACTCAGTACAAGAGATACTAATCTAACCTAACAAATGGCAGAATTCAACGTCTGCACATGACAAATCAAGACAGAAATTGCTCTTCCATCCAACCAGTAAGAGATAACTTAGATTAATACACATTATTTGCTTAATGAAAAATAAAAAAGAAATAAAAAGGAGAGTAGCAGAAGAGAAAAAAAAAAGAAAAGCGGAAAAGAAAGGCAAAAAACGAATAAATGATAATTTGATGTTTCATATGTGAAAAATCATGTCACAAACATAATGATAAATTTGATGATTTCTACATATTTATGGTAAAAACATATTATGTCTAGGTGTCAACAGATAAATGTTATAAAAATGTGTTATTCAGTTCATTAAAAGTAATTACTACATATGTCAGTAATCCTTAAGGCTGATAAATGTTTTGATTCAAAAAGCCCAAAATACACAGGAAGTATTAGATGGAATAAGCATGTCTCATAAAAAGTTGCTCCAAACAAGATCATAAAATAAGACTTCTCTTCCCAACTTTAAATGTACCCTATTTCGTGTTTGCGCCTCCAGGAGATTTAAGCAGAATCAGGCGAAAGAGAACGGATATGCATCATTTCGAGATCCTTCAGAAGTCACTCTAATTATGAAGCACCACTTTTTATATACGAAGCCGTTTAACGATCCTTCTGCCGAGATATATGTCGAGCTTACCCTATTGTAGTCGAAATGAAGAGGCTTGACACAGACTCCGAACTTGTTCTGGGGGGTCGTCACGGTCTCGTTGTAGTTATTGATGACTGCCAACAGGTTGGAAGGGGGGTCCTTAACCCTGGCTACGATACTCACAGCTGTCGGCACCGTCTTGTTCGTTAGCAGACACATCACGAAGCAAGCGCTGTATTTCAGATTCCAATTTTCTCGGATCACCTGAAGCAAAATTGTTATTACAGTAACAGGAAACTTGATGGAATAGATTAGTTGATGCATATTTGGTACGTATTGGGGTAACTTGTAGTGAAGGAAATAGAGAAGTCGAAACTCACTATTATTTTCTCATGAATGGTTTCCTAATTGAAAAAATCAATGAAACTTTCATTGAAGGTATTGGTCATGAGATGCTATACATTTTTGTTTTCCGGACTTGGTTAAATTTCTTGATACGTGGCACTGGAACCCCTGGAGTAAAATGAATCTGATGAAAACACTTCCCACTACAGAACTGAAACACCGTCACCAGGGGATGACTGAAATTAATCAAGACTCAATTTTTTCAAGTACGAAACACAAGCGGTGCCTGTGCGAAAGTAGTGATTCATATTGGATTTGAATCGCTGGAGATTGAATGCATTTGGAAAAACGTTCTCAGGAAGTTTATTCCACATAAACGCCGTTCTCCAAGTGAGAGAGTTCTTGAATAGTGAAGTTCGAGGTGTAATGAGTTGATGCTAAAAACGATGAGCAGCCACAGTCCGTCACGTATTTCTGATATGTTCCGCTCTTGGTGGAATCAAATGTGCCAAGTCACTTGAACACTTCCCGTGAAAGTATCTATAGAAGAGAGACAAATCTCCAACATTTCTTTGATGTTCCAGACTATCAAGGTTGCAAGTGATTTGTTTGAAATGACTGGACTGATTCCTCCGAGAGATGACTATTTATAGGTCGTTATAGTACTTTCACTTATCCCCGCTTTCCATTTTCCAATAACTTCCACTGTTCAACAACTCTTTCATTTGGAGAACTGCGTTTATGTGGAATAAACTTGCTGAGAACATTTCCCCAAATGTAAATCACAACTTTCGCACAGACACCGCTCTTAGAGCGCCCTAGGGATTTTCCTATAGTGCTTGTGCTCTATTTCCACCTTATTGGTACATGTCGTTGTGGTCAAGCATTTCCACATTATATTATTATATTTTCCCTGGACTCGTTACCATCCATGATGGTCTAGTAAATCTAGCAGCTAGCCTGTTACAGGGTTCCAACAGTATATTATTGTTTTTTCCATGATGAGCCTGTTTACTAATCTTCTCCAAGCATGTAATTCATCCATGCTGCGACAGCATACTTTAGATCATTTTCCTCGATATCTGTCCTGAATATCAAAGGAAGCAGCTGAAAGTATTTTCCCATCAAAACATATGTTCCTTTGGAAGTTTTCTTTCGAACACAAAAATGAGTATGTTATTGAGAAACATCCAATATATCCTGATGGAGACTGAACGGAAATATCTCCTCAATTTACTCAGCATCCTTCTTCAACCGTCGGAACCATTACGGGAAACAAACAAATCTTCACCGGTCGGATGAGGAGTAAACGTTGAGCTCGAGTATCTCAAGACTACTCAACTTATAAATCCCGTCGTTTATCACCGCAAAGCCGCATCTCAAATATACCCTCGGCTTTTCGAAGGTGTACCGCGTTCCTGAATCGAGTTCCAGGAACGACAAGACGTTGCCCGAGGATGGCAACACGATTCCTACGAATAATTGATGAAGGCGACGGAGAAAAGTCGAATAGATAATTCAATTCCTGTCGTCTGAATAGGGTCTTGTAAAAGGGGAAAACGTAGGAACGTGCCTCACTTGGAATTAATAATTGAATTTGGGCATAAGAAATATCGAACGGACGTTTCTACATGAGCAAGGTTGGGTGTTTTTATTGGTTCGAGAAATGCTGGTTGGGCGACTGATATATCCCGAAAATGGACACAACGAAGAAAGAAAATATATAAAATGAATAAATAGAAACTGAAAATATACAACTGTGAATCACTAGGGAGAGCTTCTTAGTCCTAAAATTATTCCGATAATTGAAAATCGAATTCCGTCAGAGTATCATTCCTCGAACTAAGCAGGAGCATACAACAAACAACAGGTTTGTAGTCGCCCCATCTGCCTGTGAACGAGGTAACCAACTGCATATCCGAAATTTGCCCGATTCCTCGTATAAGGAAAGAAAACATTAGTTTCCTCAGTTGGACTAGTACTTACACTAATTAACAATGAAATTTATACAAAAATATGGACCTTAATCAAAAGCTATTATTAATTGGCAACCAGTTAGTTTCAAGTACAGGTATCTAGCAGGTACAAATTGTTGGTACTACTGATTCGACTAATTTTAGTGAATGAATCAAAGAGTTTTTGTATAGAAGTATATAATTATGAATTCTTATTGCAAAGCGCTTTCAACTTTCGTCATCATCAGTGATCTAATTGAAAAGAAAGTTTTTTGTAAAAGTATTTTTTTTAATTTTGAGGTTATGAATTTAGGAATAATTATTGATGATTATTCACTTATCAGGAAAGAGGAAGTTAATATCTATCACAATGGTGTGATAATACCTGTACCTGGATTTGGTAAATTGTCAAAAATGTTCGTTGACCCGTTTCTACCGTATTCTGCCACAGCTGATTCGTCTATTTGGCCTAGTCTGCAGCTTCTTTCATGCTCCTTCAGTCTTTTTTCCATGGGTCTTCCCACAAGTGTACGGTATGCGATAAACGATACGATAGTGGATCACTTTTATCTTCAGCAAGCTCAGCAGGCTGAGGCTTTGTTGTACCTTTTGATGATGTGTTTCCTTAAAAGTTTTCCAATTCTGTCTGTGACCCTAGATATATAAGGTAGATTCGCACGTGCAGTCATTTAAGCATTCTCATCGTTTTGAGCCGTAGAACTCTTCAGTTCCATGGCTTTGATGATCTCGGATATTTGCATCCATTCGACCTCAAGGTCACTTGAAGACGTAACAGCTCTTTCTCTAGACGCTGTGGATCTCATATTCATCCAGCTCGTTCCGTTAGAGTGAAGATGACTCCTCTCTTTTGACTAGGATGGTGATTAGATAGTGCATGGAGGTACCTATCCGAGTGAGTGGGTTTTCGGTACTCTTCGTGGGTTAGTCTCAGAATGGCTGAAGACAAAAGGGTTCCAGGTGTTTATCGCATACCGCGCACTTGTGGAAAGGTATATACATCGGAACCACCAAAAGATCCATGGAAAAAGACTGAAAGTGCATGAGAAAACTGCAGACTAAGCTAAAGGGACAGGTCAGCTGTGGCAGTAGACGCACTCAGTGAAGGAACCCACAGGATTCTCTTTGAAAAGACGTAACTCATTGCCCCCAACCAGGGATATCATAGCTGATCTGTATGGGAGGCAATAAAAATCCACAAACACACGGATAATTTTAACAGAAAAGAAGAAGCTGTGAAGCTCAATCGAATATGGAATCCCATTCTAAGAAGTCCAAGAATAACAAACAGCATGACAGTAGGTAGAAAACGACCAACGAACGTTATTGACAATTCACCAAATCCAGGTATTATTACAACAAACTACATGAATCAACATAAACACGCGTCACGTAATATACCTAGGCCAGGTAGAGGTATTAGCACACTAACAAACTACCTGAGGAATCAACATAAATACGCGTTATGCATCCGTAATATACAGTAATCGCGGATATATTAATTCAAGATTCATAAAACCCTGAGGAAGCTAGCCATTCACTCCAGCGAAACGTCAGCAAGAAATTCCAAAAATCCACGGCTTTCAAAACCGGAAAAAAGTGATACTGAAAACTTAGAAAAAAGTATCCAACTTCCAAAATCGCTTGTGAGTGGAGATGTATACATCCTCTTTCATGAAAACGAGGAAACGAGTTCACACCTTTGAGTGTTCTGAAATGTTATTCTTGTACAACTGTCATTGAAAGTGACATTTTTAATAGTTTTCAAGAGTATTAAAAGATGATGTATACAAAGTAGCGTGTTAAAAATATTTTTAAAAAAGTATAAAAAGTATTTTTAACACGATTTTTTTCGACCAAATAGCAATATTATTATTTATGAATATCAATATGAAAAGTATAATTGAAACAACTGCTGATATTGATACTATGCGATGTTGAAGAGTCTTGTAATCTGTTGACAATTTCATGGCCATTAACATTTAATTCTTGAAGTGAAGAGGACGATGCTGTATCGCTGGAGCTAGCTGTTGAGATTATTCTTTCAGCAATAACATTTTTATAAGAAATAGATTGATCGATGTAACCCTCAGCTACTGTTGTAAACTTCCATCCTCCGCACTTCTTGATATCCGTTATATTTGCTCCTGATTCTGCTGGCAAGGGAGCAGAAGACCTTCTGAAACAGTGACCTGAATATTCCTTTGGTTCCGGGATATTCTGAAACTCAGCAATGGTAGAGGGTATTTTCCCAAAAGTGTTTATACCAACTGGGCATTGTAATTATAATATCAGTATTCCAGAAAAAAAAAACTTTTATGAATGATAACAGAAGGTCGTAATGCAACGTATTTATTAAAATAGTCAATGCTTATTCCAACAATTAGAACAATCAATGACTTATCTATTGATTCAATGTCTTCTATTAATAAATGGCACAGCTCTTCACGCCGGCAGGCTCCATATATTCCGAAAATAGTAGCAACTTTTATCATCAAATATTTTTCATGTGACGCTTCATTTATAAACCTCTGAACTTGTTCAAACGTAAGAGTTTTTGATTTTTTTGGGCCTAAAACTTTCATTTTTCCGCTTTAAGAATGCTATTACCTTGCAATATTTGCTTATATTAACACCATTTTTAACGAGCGCACTCGACTTCATTATTGAAAACTTGATCCACAAAGTTGACGAGTTCCATATTTTTGATTTCTCTTCCAGATTGGCTAAGAAGACGGTTTCCTTCGACGTTTTTGAGTCTACACCAGCTAAGAAAATTGAAATATGCAATGTCGTACTGCTGAGCCGATTTTTTCGGTAACAATTCAATTGAAGCTCTTTTTGCAGCCTCTGTTTTTCATTATGCAAGACATTGAAAATCAGCAAGAACTTCAAATGTGACTTTAAAGAAACCGCTTGGGTTGTAAATAATATTTTTTTTTGCTAATCAGGAGATTCGGCGCGTCACTTGACAGGGCCACTTCACAGCAAATGCGATAACATGAAAATAGTTAACTGACAAGAGATGTCAAAATGTGTTTTTATAGAAATATTGAATTTATCTACTTTATTGTGAACACAGGACAGTTGTAGAAAAACTTTGTATGATATTTGTGTTAAAAGAAAATTACATTTTGTTCGTGAAAATTGAAACTTACTTTCAACACTCATATCATAAATATCTAGTTTGAAATGTTAATTTCAATGTTATTTATACTACTAATGTTTGAATTGAAAAAACATCATACTTGCAGAAGTTCATTTATTGCCACATTAATTTCATTGGCCAGAACATCAAATTTACGATAGAACTTTAAACCAATAATTCGATACACTTTTTGAACCTGTCAATATGAAACAGACATGATTCGTCAATAGACCACAAACTAACCCATACAGACACAATCGTTTTCTAAATATTTGGACTTGAAAATTTCAAGTCGATTATTTGATAGTCGATGCATGTTGAAGTTATTACGAATATTTTGCATTTTTCACAAGAATGCTTTGGAAATAAATTTGACGTTTGTGAGTAGTTTTGGTAATTATATATTTTGTGACAGTTAGACGTTTTGTTGAAGTTTCCGTAAGTAGAAATAGAAAACACTTATTTTGAAAAAATGGATTATTTGAACAATAATGCTCAATTAGCCGATATGCATTTCATTTATGGCCTTGCGGATGGCAATGCGCGCGAAGGAAGACGTATTTACCAGGAGCGATTTCCTAATCGAGTACTGCCTTCAGCTCCAACATTTGCTAGTCTCCACCGTCATTTGGCAGAAACAGGTAGCTTTAAGAGGGCAGCTGATATTATTGGAAGACCACGAGCAGTCCGAACCCCAGAATTGAAAGAAGCTGTTTTGAACGCCTTCGAGGAGAATCCAGAAACAAGCACAAGAGTAATTGCTGAAGCTGTCAATTCTACTCAGTCCACAGTTTGGAGAATTATCCACGATCAACAGTTTTATCCATACCATATTCAAAGGGTACAAGCTCTTTTGCTACGAGACGTTCCTCAACGCATTACTATGTGTCAATGGTTTTTGAGAAAATTGGCTGGAAATCCTCANATTATTCGAGAGTACTTTTGAATCACCCTGTATAGTAGATATATAATAATTGTTTTTCACTTGATGTAACTCCGTTATATACTATTCTGCATATTGTTGTTTTAATATACTTGTATTTGACGTTTCCTACACCATAATTGTATGATCAAAAGGAATAAACAGTATTATTTTTTTTTCACCGTATATTATTATTATTCAAGAAATAATGTCAGATTATTGCTAGTGATGAACAGTATTATTTTTCAATGCGATAAAAAGGTGGGTCTAAAGTGAGTGTATTCAAGCCCGTGAGGTTTTGTTGTGGCTCACACTGTATCTTCTCAACAATGTCCATTAGCTTATATGGTGAATGATCTTTCAGGCCAGACGGCATACTGTGTAAACATGGTCACTATTAATCAAATTCATCCTTCGTATATATGAAGAATTTTATTATGGTTTACCTTAGTTTGGGCAGCTACCGTTACAGAAACATGGGAAGAGGAATTGAATTCGTTGGTTTTGTACCACAATCTACACCACACCTTCTCTGGTCCCCTGGTTCTTGTCGCTCCAATCACACGGATGATCTTCTGCCCTTTTCTTCGATCATAGAACGCGGAGAAGACGAAAAACTTGTTCCTGAAACAAAAAGCAAACACTGTGACAGAAAATATCCATAACTGTGTTACGGATGTCAAAAAGAGATTTGAGTAGTCGATGATATTATTCTCAATGATGCCTGGTGGCAAAATGTTATGAAACAGGGTTGGTGCAAAATGAAAATAGACTATAGATATACCGTTATTTGGGATAATAAAATATTGAACAGAAATGTTATTGAAAAGTACGAGTGGCGAATATTGGAAAAGTACAAGTTAGATCTGCATGAGATTCGATTAGTGTGTGGGGATTTGTATCCTTCGCTATGTTTTTAATGATGTTGACGAGAAATGTTTGATTAATTTATTGACATCAACACAAAAAAATACAAAATTAGTACACTGAGGTTTATTGAGATTTCAGCGGCACGTTTACCATTGATTCGCTTTTGCGAATAATCCAAACACGTCAATTGGTTAGAGGCTGACGACGCGACGTCCGGAATCACATAATTTGGTGGAGGCTCCGTTATGGTGTGGTATTTCTTTGACCGCATGTACGGATTTCGTGGTCATACACAATGGGTCTGTTACAGCTAAAAAGAACATAATGGAAATCTAGGAGCAACACGTAATACTATTCGCCCCTCATATTGGCGAAAATTTCTTATTGGTGCAAGACAACGCCAGACCCCATGTTGCACAGATAGAAATCACCTCGAAGAGGATGAAATTAACATCAAGACAAAAAGCCAATAAATCCTGTTGGTGTGGGGTGAGGGGCGGTACCCGCAAGGATTTCCCGAAAATCCACCCCTCCACACCCGATCGCATCCAACGCCAGGGTACGGCTGGGGGGCCTAACCGGCCCCCCAGGCCCCCCGATGCGGTCGTAACTATGACTCTCTTGTAACTATGTAGTATCTTCAGATACTACAAATCGTTTTTTAGTCCTTCTCTTCTCAAAAACGTTTTCATTGTTCATGATTCCGTGGTAGGAATCACACGTTGAAAGGTAAGAACTCGTTAGTCCTCAGCTCGCACATTAATATGACGCTCCAGTATTATCTGTTCTGTACAAAAACGGCTTCAATGTTATCATTATAGCCGACATATTTTGATTCATAAAATAAATACGGCTAGTGAAATGGCTTTAAGATGGAACTTATCGTTTTGTGAATAAATACTAAATAGCTCAGTGGTGTCTTTTTGCTGTTACTAACAGAATATTATCATTCATATAAGTACCAAAATTATATGTTTAGACAATAATGGGGTTTCATTTGCCAAAACAAAGAAATGTTTTGTATTATAGAAATGAATTAATATTTCCACATAAGTCGCTTATTTTCAACTTTAGGAAGGAAGGTGATATGAACTTTTTCATTGAGAATGTTTTCACGAATCGAAGTGCATGATAAAATGATATTTTATTAAATATTTTGAGAACGCGACTGTCAGTTTTTTTGTTTTCTGCATCAGGAAGGCCATTAAAAATGCTACTAGTTTGCCTATTTAAGCAAATTGGTCGCATCAATAATAACGGAGTTGGCTATACTTCTCCAAGAAATTGCCGCCCCACTTCAATGAATCATGTCATCGTGCATATCGTTCATTGGAACGTCGTGACACACGAACACGTCTGTCGTTATTGTATAAACAAAATCGGGAATCATCGATGAATAACTCTGTCAGCCTCTAACCAATTGAAGTGTTCCTTGGCAAAACATAGTCTCTCCTTTAGATGGTCTGCAGTTAATAGACGACACCGGGCAGCAATGTTGTATTCCTTGAGTCGCTGGCGAACAGTTTCCGTAACGATTTGTATAGCATGCACGTGTAGATTTTGATGTGTAACAAACCGTTGTCGAAGTGCAAAAATTCTCAAATATCGACCCTGAATAGGGGTAGTGACCCGTTTTCGTCCTTGTCCTGGTCTGCGAGCATGATCGCTCGTTTCACGGAATCGTTGCAAGATCCGTGTGATGGATGTGTGGGACACATTGAATCGACGACCAATTTGTCGGTAACTCCAGCTTCCTTTTAGAAGTATTAGTGGTTGGGTACATTTATGACAAGTTGAATTACGTGATTGACGCTTCATAATAAACACAATTAAGATTCCTTTACCAGTTAGCAGTAACCAAATAAGTACACGTCTTAAACTTGTTCAGATTTGCAACTCAATAGGTAAATGAAAACCAAAGCACTGAACCACATTTGAAACATATGGCATTCACAGATGGTGTATATCTACAGACCATTTCGGAATATTACTCTTCGTCAGTGTAGGACGGATCTAATACATATAGCAGTCTGTCTGGTACTTCACTAATTTCATCAAGGGTTGACTGGATAGAATTTGTTTCAACTACAGTTCATCTAGTGAAGAAAGCTCCAAGCCAGGAATAGCATTTCCAAAAATTTCGTAAATGTTGACAAAGACTGATTGGGGTTAATTCGTCCTTGAAGGTGAGTCAGATGGAGTGTGATACATTTGGCTTCTTAAGTGTCCCCACAAAAATCCAGCCGCTTCGAAGGCTTTCGATAAATTATTCATAAAATGTTGTTAGTAGGAGCAGAGGAGCAGTCTTCTAGATATGCCATTTCACCTTCAATATATACAGGACTACTCCCTACGATATTTGTCAGACTTGGATCAGTAGTATTTTCAGTTTTACCAGTTTCATATCAAGTGTTTTATTACCAGTAATGATAATTTAATCAATGGATGTGATTTATTCAAAAGCAGGAAAAATCATGGATGAAACACACAAAAATTAAATAAACAGCAGACACGTGTTTCTAGCTTTTTAGCTTTCATCAGCTAAATCATGGAATAGCCAAGTACAAGGTTAGGCACCACTTTGCAGAAACAAGACAAATGTACGTTGTCATTAATAGAAGCCAGTACAGATACGATGTTTGAATTTCAAACATCGTATCTGTATTTATAAAAATGAAATCCCCGTATATATATATAGTCTTCGCAAAAAATCGGTCATATGACGGTTTTCTAAGATATTTTCTGAATAATGACGTTTTTAATGAGATGATCATATATTTGACTGTCATCTTGGTGACGTTTTTCATGGGATATCATATATACATGTTTTTCATGATTGAAATATTGAGTAAAACATTGAACATCACAAATGTGTTTCATATTATATCCTTCTCTGTAAGCTGATGAGAAAACGTCTTTTCTCAATGAATGAAAATATTAGAAAAAGTATGTTTCATTTCCTTATCATCACAAACAGAAAATAAACAAATATTTGAAAATTAAAGTTATCAGTAATTCAAACTGATGTTATTTTGACTATAAATTATTCATTTTGCACACCTCATTTTTCAGAAATCCCCAAAAATAAAACTCTAGAGGTGTCATGTTTGGTGAACGAGAAGGCCACCCAACAGGGCCTTTTGTAGCAATTCATCTGTTTCCAAAACACTGAAATTATATGCTTGTGTTCCATCCTGCTGAAAATAGATCATCTGACGAGCCTCCAGATCAAGATCTACGAAAAACTCTTTCAATACTCTAATCAATAAATAAATGTAACGGAGTCCGTTCAAAGAACCAAGGTAAGATAATTCTGCCTCTAAATAGACCACACTGAACATTAATATTAAATCCTCTTTGCGGATTGTGGGGATGGAGAAGAAATGAATTTTGTCTAGTCCAATAATGGAAATTCTTTCTATTATACATCCCACAATTTGGAAAATCAGCCTCATCCATCCATATAATATTTGTTTGGAAGTTGGGATCTTGTCTGCATTTCATTCATAAACCACCGACACCAGGTTCTAGTGTTTGCACTGGTCTTAACATATAAGGAGAAATCTTATGTTTCTTCAGAAATCGTTAAAAACAGGTGGTGAGTGGCGGGGGATCACTGTCTCTCTCTTACGGGTGTTTGACAGTCCCCCGGTGCAGACCACACGGCACTCACCCAGTAAAGTTATCGGTCAACCACCCAATCCCGCACTTGCGGGTAACAGGCGTTGGCCGGTTTCAAGCTAGATGTGTGGGAGAGGTATCTCGCAAGAGCCCTCGGCGGTTACTCATCAAACGCTGGAAAGGTAACTTTCCTAACATGAGTGCCCCTCGGGGTAACGTAAGGGTATGCGGTGCAGACCACACGGCGTACACCCAAAAGTTGTTGATGAACCGCCCTATCCCGCACCTACACGGATGTAAGGAAGCAATTCCGGGTTCGGTGAGCGGGAGGAAGCCCTGCGAAATCCTGTTGGTGTGGGGTGAGGGGCGGTACCCGCAAGGATTTCCCGAAAATCCACCCCTCCACACCCGATCGCATCCAACGCCAGGGTGCGTCTGGGGGGCCTAAC